ACTTTGTTTGTCTCGGCCCTCGTCTCTCCACGCTTCGTACGCGTAGGGTATTAATGCRCCGTTGCAGTCCAGGAACGACATGGTAAGCACTCCGCCCTTCAGTCTGAATATTGTACCTAAGTGTAAAATCACATTGAAAAAAAAAAAAATTAAATTATTGTTTTTCGGTAATGTCGCAAGTCGCAACGGTTTATTTTTCAAAAAATCATTTCTCTGTCTTTTCATACAAGCCTTACTGGTAAAAAAAGTGGTTCAACGGAGCAATAACTTAAAGTGTGGTGCGATACCTTTAGGGTCATACGGACGACTGTGAGTACGGTTATAGGTTAGGAGCAGAGCATATATGTATATTATTGCGCCTTCGATATCGATGCATAGGTTTATGTAAATCGGAACGTAAAACGAAATGTCCGTAGTAGATTAGTAAAGTGGTTTGGGTATTCAAGACGAACGGCGCCGTCTGTGCACACTGTATGAATAAGCGATCCGAATGTGTGCATGTACCTGGTGCGATYCGTTTAAATCGGAGTGGTACACACTTATTTCCTTAAGTAGATTTTTGTGATTAGAAAGAAAAATGTTTTCACGCTATTAGGTATGGAAACACGCATTACATTTACTGTTACAGTTTTTTTWAAATTTTTTATGTCCAAAACGAAATGTTTTATTACAAAATTATGAACAATTATAAAAATATCACTAAAATTGACACTTTTATAATAMATTTAATGTATAAAAGATTGATAAAAAGAGTGTAACACATTTAATACGCGGAGAATGCGACCCAAATAAAATGTTATTTTTTCTCAAAATATWTATAAAAGCGAAAAATGCTAAAATATTTTATAGATTGAGATTTTAGCAGTATTATCATAACGTAACAATATACTGTAGGTACTACTATCGAAGAGTATCGCTGTAGACTCCTTTCTATGCGTAAGAAACTGCTCACAAATATTAAATTAATAACTACTCATCCCGACCTGATAGCGAGACTATAAATTATATATTAAGTTACGTCTTGGCGCTCGGACCACTCACTCGCACGCGTTGGTTGTACGCGGAATGCGAGAGAGACAGAACTAAAAACTGCAATTTTGTGAGTTTCATTTTTCGTTCCATTGATCCGTAGTCGTACCATTCTATATTATTATTATCTTACAAAACCAAACCCTAACATTCAGCCGTTTCCATCACCAACCCTTGCCACCTTAGTTCACGGTGTTTCTCATATAGAGGTGGAGGTACAGTGAAGTTAGTTTTTTCCTTGGAAGTATTTTTTTCCCTAGAGGTAGTTTTTTCTTTGGAGGTAGTTTTGGCCTTGGAGGCAATAACTTTTTTTTTGGCATATGCATTCCATGACCAACCTGGGGGAAACTTTTCCTTGAAGTAATCCTACCCCCAGGTGGTCGAGTACCGTTTATCAACAACTATTACATAATAAATCAAGGGGCCGTGGTGGACCAGTTTCCCACTCACCGGAGCACTCTTTCAGCGTGTGCGTGTACGGAAGACCGTATAGACGATATACCAAATTGACAGATTTAAAGACGATTAAAGATAGTTTTGTATGGTCTGTTTGACGACASCATCATTCTTCGAACTTAAGCACCAGMTTAAGAAAATATATTTTATACAAATAATAAATTCACTTCAACATATTATATTGTTTTAAACGTATGATATTGAGATAATTTAGATTTATTGGCTATCAGTTAAAAATATAATATTTTCGTCGCGAATTTATAGTTAGATCGTCGCAGCACAGCGATCGAGGTTTAGCGTAAACATTAATTTCTAAAACTTTTCAATCGTCTAAATGAAAAATTATCGCGCGTCGCAGTTTTTATTTTTAAATCGTGTTGTTATTTTTATCTACGCCGTTTTATGTGCGTACGACGTTCGATGTTATTAATACACTTTCGCATTATGTGTTTTATATTCATATTATTCGATGAAATTTGCAAGCTTAAAGCTTATCGTTTAATTAAATATTGCGCGTCGTGCGAGTATAACGAATGTTGAATACCCGTTTTCATTTTATATTCTTAATTTACGATTTTTAATTAAGTACGCATTAAGAAAAACAAAAGATTTCTGACAAAAATACAATATAATATATTTATTRTTTATATGTACAAATTAAACAATAATATAGATTTTTSAAATTATTAAAATACCTCCATTACTGTAGAACTAGAGACTTTACTAAGTTAGTTTTTGATCAAGTTAATGAAGCATTTGTTTGTTTTTAAAAGGTTCAAAGAATTTAAAATTCTATGCAAGTATTCATTTGGTTCAGTGAACCTAAAAAGTAATTTCAAAAAGAAAGTTTTTGTAGAGTAATTCATTTTTTAAATGCAATTTTAGGTATTTAAAATAAATCTTAGGTTTTTTTTTAGATGTTTTTTACTCAAAAATAAAATAAGACGTAAATAAATGGGATGTTAAACATGATAAACTATAGTATCTTTTATCCATTGTATACGATACGTCTCAGTTATCTGTGAATATAAAAAAAGTGTATGTTGAAACCACCAATTAAACATTTTTAAAATATGCAAAACGTATTGAATCAGATTGTAAAATATAATACATTTAGACCGAGCAAAATAAAAATCGAGTTTTAAATTGTGCGTTTGTCTGCACGGATTAACATATAGATATGATACACGGGTGTATTATATTTAATACATATTATTTTGTATAAATTTATATTTTCCTGTAGTACGTTCTTATTTGTACAAATACAATAAATGGTATTTAAAGTCTCGAGTAATGCTTGCGAATACCATCACAAAAACAGTGCAAAAGTAAAAAAACACTAGAACATTATCGCGTCATTCGAAGCATTAAAAGTCGCTCGACAATTATACGTATACGATGAACGATGTAATCAGATTTCGGAGCGCATATTATTATATTTGCCGTTTTTTACGTTTTATAATTTAATTATAAATTATCCGGGACGAATCTAATGACCTACATACGAGTGATGTTGTCGGAAATGAATAGTGCACAGACCAAAAAAAAAAAAAGATATGAAAAAATCATTATTACTTGGAAAGTGAATTCGTACTCGTAGGCTTGTGTGTTTGTGTGTGTGTGTGTGTAAGAGAGAGAAGAAAAATAAACTCACCACAAGGGGCAACGGTTACGGGCTGCGTCGCCCTGGGCTCTCCGGAAGGTGGTAGATTGATCATTATGGTGAGCACCGATCCCACACTGGTGCCTATCCAGAGGGTCGGGAAGTTAGACGGATCTGAAACGAGAGTGTAAAGAAAAATTCGATAATTATATATGGAGTTAATAATATAATAATAAATGAATTAACGAAGGGACGCTTTGAACTGGAGCGACAGAATGAAGTGTTACGAGGACACCGCAAAGTGGCGGGAATGGTGTGGTGAAGGATATTATGAGAAGGTACTCGAAAAACTCATTAGGTAGGTACCGGATTTCTTCGTGTACGAATCGCCGAACGTCAAACACTGTATCGACTCCGAGGTGATGTTGTCTAAGCTCGACATGCTAGAACTCCGCGATCTGGAGAAAGAGCTGTCCAACTTGTCTAGACGGAAAAAAAACAACATGCGTAAGTCAATCGAATAACAGACGTGTGTAGTAATATAATATAATAATAAGATTATGTGGTTAAATTATAAAAGCGGTTTGTATTGTTAACATTATATGTATTTTTTTTTTTTAGAAGTGTTAACCATAATTATAATAGATAATAATATATTATAATAATGTCAGTTAGAAGAAAAATCGGCTGTTTATAGTTAGAACAATATAAAAATTATTACATTTAATTTTATATTCGTGCACCAAAAAAAAAAAGCGTAATCATGCATAATATAGTATAACGATGTGTTATATATGTATACAGCGTATATAGTATATATACTGTACATTATATACAGGTTGTTATTACGATACACAATTGATACAATATAATATGTACATTGATAAAACAGTAAAACAGGTAAAAGCAATAGATAAAAAACGTGCAAAAGTAAGCATGCCAAGCGATATGTGGTATTTACAACTTTCCGTTACCGAATGTTTTACATTTTTATTTACAGCGTTTGCGACGGGTTTTAAGTACGTATTTACAATATATATTTTTTTACGCAATTGAGTATACTATTTACATGTATATATTATAAATTTAAAATATTGCAATCGTTTTTTTTTTTTTTTTTGATAGTTAATATTATATGTATATTATACGCATATTACATAAATTAATGCATATATAGTGATAAATAGTAAATATCGATGTGTGTGTGTTATAAAAACGCGTAACACAACACACACGCGCGGGCAGTAGCGTTATAATAATATATAACAACAGTAATGTAACAATAATTTCGCGTAGTTAAGTCTAGATGAGTTAGGTACGTGTAGGTATATACAGAATGTGTATAATATAGGTAAGTATGCAACGCGCGAGTCGTCGGGTCGGTTCGAAGAGCGTTGTCAAGAGTCACACACATAATAGATAAACCACGAATTTGTGTTTTGGTAAAGGCTCAAAAAACCAAGAAGAATAGGCATAAGAAATATGATTTTAAAAAAAACAAGACAAAAACACAATAATCTAATATTAAGAGAGAAAGAGAAATAATAATACATAGAGAAGGATAGAGAGGGTGAGAGATCAAAGGGAATAGAGAAAGGGTTATATATATATATTACGTATATGTAATAATGTATTATTTAGTGATAGAGAGCAGTGGGTCACACGGGTGTGGCTAGACACAAGTCAAAGCAGACAGTTGTAATATAATAATATAACACAATGTGGAAGAGGCGATAGATGGTTTAGTAATATAATACATACATACATATGTGTATATATATATATGTATATAACATGTACATATAGTCACATAACAAAGAATATACGTCACACACTAGTTTTGGTAGTCACACATCGCCACTCGTATATATTACATGATAATATATATTTTTTTTTTTGAATACGATGACGGTACGACACACGATTATTATAATATATTATTATTATTATTATTATTGTCATTATGTCATAACAGCTATAGAGRGTGTATCTATACGTTTTGGGCGCGGAATAAAGCCTACGTCGCATTTGTTTGAAATAATTATTAATTATATTAGTCGAATATCACGTATTGTTGCGGGGAGGGGAGGCAGTGTGTAGAATAATATGATCATATATTATTTTATTTGGCCATGCGGATGGGGATAAAATAAAACTCTACGACATGTACAATGTTATGTTATAGGCATGAGTCAAATGACACTACAGAATAATTTATAATAAAAATAATATGGAAGACTTGTATTGTAAATATAATGATATTGTGTGAACATAGCGCAGTATGTTATCATGTTTTAAAGTGATTGATTTATAATAATAATAGAAAAAAAAAATAAACAGTCGTCACAATATAATATAAAGAGGTATTATGATGGTTGCGTTTCATGACTTCTATAAACTATATAATTTTATATGGTATCGATAAAATCATGCTATAAATTAATAATGATATACCCAAACCCAATAACCCTGTGTAGGTGTATAATGTATATAATATAATATACTCGTCACTCGATTACGAGAATATGCCACTGGGTTAATGACACGTACCCATGTGAGGCTCGGGACTTCTAAAGACGATAAAAAATAACTTTAATAAAAATTGCAAGATTTTCACAAGTATAAAATCGTCAATAGACTTGCCACCGACTTGTTGGTTCGTAAAAATATAAGTATTCCTCAGAACCGAATTGTTATCGATTTGATTTTTTTAAATAGTTGCAGTTTGTGTGCTGAAATACGTACTGCTTCATTTGCGGAATGACTGCTGTATTTGACTGTATACGAAAATTAGATAGGTGAGATTGTTTAGATAATAGTCGTAATCACGGTCTTACGATTTGGTAAAGTCAGCGTTAAAAATTGTGTTTTTTCTATTCGCTAAAAATGATTTTTATCGCGTGATTCTATACGGCGGTGTATTTTTTCTCAGTTTCAAATCGAAATTTGATCACAAAAAGCAATAAAACGATATGATAAAAAAAAAAAATATTTTTATTTTTATACAGGTCTGTTGTATTGCCACAAGGAACTCTTTAATAAAACAAAATCTCGAGAATTTCAAATCACATGGTATCTACGAATATGTACTTAAAAATTAAAAAAATCAGAATTTCCATGAATTAAATGAAAAATTGTGTGGGAGGGAGGGGGGAGTGATCATACTCGATGAATCGTGCTGTATATGCAAAATTCGCAATGTGCAACCGTGCAACGAAATGTATTCGCCACCGTCAAATCGTCCCGAGCCCCCCAATAACATAATACCAATACATTAAACACACGAACACCGTATTTATATTTAAAGTTATTTAAATGGGACAACAGTTGTTGTTGTTGGACGTCATCTATGCACATACGGATGGGTCATTAAATGCAGTGATTTCGAACGGCCATCGTTAGCTGATATCTATAAAATTAATTGCTAGAGTGGTTGCCGTCGCATCAGTGCGCTGCAAAATAATTAAATACAAAAGATAATATTATTATGGCACGATTAGTTCGTATATCATAAAAACGTATGTTTTTTGCACGCGACGTTGGTCATAAAAAATATTGTGGTGCGCAACAAAAATCGAGCGATATTGAAAAAAAATGTGTCTGCGTCGGAGCGGGGGCGCATATTGGCATATTATTATTATTATTATTGTCATCGTCGCGGGTATAAAAAAATATTATATTATTATTATAGCTATATAATCGGAGACCGTGCAGCAGCTTGTGTTCGTCCTTTATCGTTATCCCGGATACCTAGTATATATTATTATATATATTGTATAATATTATGGTGGCGTACCTAACACAATAACTGCGCATCCGAACGATGTTGTATGTGGGAAAAGAAACAAAAAAATCAATATTATTCGAATAACGCGCGAATACCGTAACCGTGTCATAGCGATATTAGGTGTAGCATAAATGTATAATAAACTCGWAATAAACGCTGCAGCGGGTATGGAGAGAATGGAGCGTACATTACTGTCACGAGCTTGCAGAGGTAGTTTTTCAATTTTTATTTTATTTAAAACGTTCGTTAAATCTTAAAATGTCTGGAATTGGCGCAACGGAAAAACGACATAAACACACGTCATAATATTATTGCAATTATCGAGAAACGCGAGTAATATTAATTATATATGGTCGGTAAATTGAATACCTGTAAAATTCTGCAGTCTGCAATAAGCACCACGTATAGGAATTTCACGATGTTGAGTGCAGCTTGTTATTTCGACGAACTACGCCTATCCGAAAGAAATTCGATTTGTTTATAATATTGACGGCGATGGTCGGAAAAAAAAACTGATCGCTATATTATCATTGGGAAAATAAACGAACTGGACTGAATAAGCGCGCAGTATGTAATCCAGGGGCATATT